CACCAAAAGAGTAGCTGTTTTCCAAAAGCAGCACAAGATGCATCTTTGCTGGTCCACACCTTCAGTGAATGTTTGATTTGACCCAATCCAATATATCAGCACTGCTACACTGATTAAAGTTTCCTAACCTGTGATCCAATGGACTATAACCTAGAGATTCCCTGGTACAATGCCTGGACCACTAAATCATTTCATATGGGGACTGGGGAGAAATAGTGGTGATACAGCAAATGTCTTCTGGCAGAAGACACTGTTGAAACATTAATATACCTTTGTGAGGCATACAGAGAACTGAAGTTTGTTTTGAGTAACGATTCTAATGAGACACTATTAGAAAAATAACTGCCGAAAACTGCAAAATTGAGTCTGAGGAAAGAGAATCAAGAGACTGAGCCTGCATATTTTTACATATTATTTGTTAATGTTATTACCCATTAAGATATATTATCCAATATGATAGGGTTGCAAATAGCAGCAATATTTTTAAACCCTTGGCAGGAAGCAGATTTTCTTGGTATTTTAATATTCCATTTTTTTGTAGACTGATGCTTCATTACACACAAAAAAAACCCCTGTTCCTGTAAGGTTATTTAAATAAAGTTTATGTATTGTGGGCCTCTTTAGGCTAAAGATTGTTTCTTGTTGATTCAGAGTTATTATTTTACATACTCACAGCTTCAAATTCACTAGTGCCTCACAGAGAGGCCAGAACAATTCTACTCTCCAAAAATAAACTCCTTGCTTCCCTTTCCTTTTTACTAGCCATTTAGTCCTGTTTTTTAACTCCAGTTGTAGCCACAATCCTCTTTGTCCTATCACAGGTGGCCATCATAGATTGAGAAACCTGAAACTAGGAAACCTAAGCTGTGTTGAAATCAAATTACTTCAAACAAAGAAAATGCATGGCATATGCAGGTGTTCCCAAGGGAGGGATGTGGTTATCAAACACCCCCCCAAAGCATAAGAGAAACACCTGCAGTGCCCTTAGACAGCAGGCACAGGCTGCAAAGCTTAGAAAGAAGACTTAGTACATTAACCTCCTTAGAGAAGCAGGACATGAAAGAGATACTTGTTTTAAACTAAAGAGCCATTTTAACAGATGAATAAAAATTCTGAAGTCACCCTCAAGGTAAGACAGGTTGCACTTTTCACTTGCCTGGTAACCAGAGCACTAAGAGCCACGTGCAGGCAAGCAGATGCCCAGGTGCAGTCAGCACTGGGCTGAAAGCCTGCAGTAAGCAGCCCCAGCCGAGCAGGGCCCCCAGGCGCGGCCCGGCCCAGC